TTCTGGTCTTCCTGTCGGCTTCTGCGAAGCTCTCTCTCTCTCTCTTTTACCGACGCCTACCGAAAAAAAGGATGGGAAATCTCGAACTAACTAGAAGAGGCACTGCGCCGTGTGGCCTGTAGGCAGACAGATATTAGGTGCCTTCTTCCTTTTCCTCATGAACCACTAACAACAACAACTAGAAGTTTCGAGCGAAGCCTGCGATTTGGTAGGCGGCGGAGTTGTCGTACGCGAGTAATTTGTCGCCGGCGACTGCACAGAAACGCGTTCCTCGAAGGTACGCAGGTAACACGCCGGGTCCGTATGCGCCACTTTTCAACCAGTGTTGCCCTCTAGATCGTGGGCTTGTCGGCAATCGGTATTATCCCAACGTGGCACTCCAATCATATCTAATCCCGACGAGGCGATATAATCCGCGCCGCTGTGGAAAGTGACGGCTGCGCGCGAAGAGCGTTTCGTATCGACGCACGCGCCACTTGGCGTTTGAAGTGCACACAAAAGGCACGGATTTCTCACCCGTTCGAAAACGCCAAGTGACAACGAATAAGATAAAACCAACGAGGTTGATTGATTTGTAGGGTTTAACGTCCCAAAACCACCATATGTTTAGGAGAGACGCCGTAGTGGAGGGCTCCGGAAATTTCGACCACCTGGGGTTCTTTAACGTGCACCCAAATCTGAGCACACGGGCCTACAACATTTCCGCCGCCATTGGAAATGGATCTTACATCTTACTATAGTGTAAGACTGCGTCCTCCGGGCATCGTCCACTGACCAGAGGGAGCTGCGTCGCTCAACACTGCCTCGCCTCAAAGTCGCTGCCATTGGCCGTTAAGGGGCAAGCAGAAATGGACGCGTGCAACCCGGCCACAATTCGCTCTGTGATGCAGGGCGCTAGACGCGCGCATTGCGTTCCATTTTTACCGAACCCGTCCCAATGATGCTTTTTTCATCCGCAAGGCTATGTGTTTTGGCGCTGCAATCCAATCGGAAAAACTCAACTGCACGGTGCCTATACGCAAATAGTGAAGACAGTATTTTTCATATTTCACGCAAAAGATAAGGACACAACTGTCGGACTACATTCGCTAGCGGCAGGACACGCGCGATTCGCCTCCGTAGCCTTCGCAGCATTGCCAAGAAATGTCGTCTGCGACGCTGCAGTTCCATCTTGCGTCACGCCCACGGTGATCGTGCCTCAAGCGTTCGCAAATGACGCGCGGCGTGTGGAGAAAAAAAAAAAAAAAAAGAGCACGGAAGAACGCGCACAGCGTCGCTGACGCGGCATGCGCGTCGCCTACACGTCAGCCGCACGTGCTGGCTGGCGAGCGGAACTGCGAAACTGTGTACAGGTTCTTGAAACGTCAACTTCTGCTCTACCCTACGGCCTTCGTGAAAGCCAGCAGCAAGATCACGCAGACGCATCAAATCGTTAGCGTCTCAATTCTCGGGATCTCCCGCTCATCAAGTTTTATTCGTACACGGAACTACCAGTTATTTTGTTTCATGTTCAAGGCGTCGAAGGAGGGAAGGAAAAACTTTATTCGCAAGCGTTTGGTACGGGGGTCATGAGCTTGATGGGTGGGGCCCCAAGTCCAGGGCTCCACTGGCAGCTGCCTGATGTGACGCAGAAGTGCAAACTGCACCTCTGGGTCAGAGCTGGCGAGCTGTGCCTACCCACTGCTCGAAAGTATTACAGAACTCGACTGTATAACGCAGTGTTTCGGTCACCCTTTCCCCGTTTCTTCGCGACGCAACTGTCGCAACGTGACTGCAAACAGCGACGTCTTCGGTGAGAGACTGTGCAGCACCGCGTTGAACGGTCCCCGAGGAACCTCCGAAAAACGAGCGCGTCGCGTTATTTGGCACCGGAGTTTCTCGCCCTTTCTGCGACATTCGTCAGATGCAGCAACGGGTCCGCGCGACCGACGTTGCGAGAATGTATATAGGCGCTCGATTGGTCTATACGCGAGTGGGATCGGTTGCGATGTCCGTTTCCTGCCGTACTTTTTTTTTGTTTTTTCGCGCAGTAGCATGCCCACTTGGCCTCGTCTCGCATGAATATCGTAGTGCGATCATTGATTTCCACGATTTCCCTTCGTCTCGTGCCTTTCGCGCCAGCGCCAGCGGAGGCAGCAGCGTGTAGTCGAAAAGCGCGATATTCTGATAAGTGGAAGGCTTATAGGGCTGCCCCGCCGCGGTGGTCTAGTGGCTGCTGACCCGCAGGTCGCGGGATCGAATCCTGGCTGCGGCGGCTGCATTTCCGATGGAGGCGAAAAATGTAGGCCCGTGTGCTCAGATTTGAGTGCACGTTAAAGAACCCCAGGTGGGGTTCCGGAGCCTGGTTCCACTACGGCGTCTCATAATCACATGGTGGTTTTGGGACGTTCAACCCCACATATCAATCGATCAGGCTCAGGGCTGACATTGTGCGCGTGCTTTATGAAGAAATAACAAGTGGCGAGGAGGCGCCTGTAGGAAAAAGGCGGTAAAGAAACCCCTCCCTCTTCCGCCTGAACTTGGGAGTGGTTTGGGCCAGGGCCGTACGCGATTCAAAACTGATATCGCTCGTGACTGCATGGACTGGTGGCGCCACGAACTGCGCCGAAATGAGTGAAAACGCCAGGAGAAACAGACGAAAGCTATACGTGCTGCTGCGTGTTAGAGCGTCGCACGCGTTACGCCATGGTTGTATGTTAGGTCCCTGCGGGCAAGAAGTTGGCTTTTCGTACTCGTTTGGATTTCATTTTTTTTTTCTCTCGTGTATGCCAATTAGAAACGTACAGTTAAATAGACCATAAATAACGTCGTCGAAAACTTTCATTTCTTCTTTGTATGTTGGTTTCGGTAGGTCCCGTGCCTCACAAAGCATCATTCCCCCTCTCTCTCTCGCTCAGTGATACTACGTTGTCGGTCGCCTGGGAGAACGACGCATGTGCCGTATATTCCTCTGATCAACCGGAGTGTGTCGCTCCGCCGCTCATAATTGGCTCCAGACGCCGACACCCAGCACGCATTAACGAAGCACGCCGTGTCTTTGCGCCACGAATGCGTGAAAGTTCAGCTAACACCGGACTGCGTAAGGCGTTCCGACGGCCTACTTTTCGATCGCGGATGCGACTAACCGTGACAAGGCATCCCTTTGGGGGGCTCCGCAAGTTGGTCGTCTGCTACGACACGACGCATCTGACCAGTGCAAAGAGCGCAGTCTGAATCGCGTTTATCCAGAGCGGTCGGGCCCTCCTGGCTCTGGACTGCAAAACTGACCGCTGGCTCAATCGGTGATGGTTCTTGAATCAGCGCGGCGGTGGGTCCTTATATTTTCCCTGTACCCGTAGTTTGCGCGGTTTTCAAGATGGCTGCGGACGCTAGCACCACATTCATGTTAGCTCATAGCCTCCCTAGATTTTTCTTGCCTGCCGCATGAGCGCCCGTCATCCATGGCACCGCCACCTACGTAGGGTTAAGGGTCTTTGTACTTGGCCTTTAAGATCGGCAATTCTGGCGTTTGCTATAATTTCAGAGGGTATGCCTTGTATTGAAAGGGTTTCCTGCTGAATGAGCGCGAAACACCCGTCATCTAAGGCGGCGTCACTTACATAGGGTTAGTTATAATTATTTTAATTACGTTTACGCCTTTTTAAAACTTTTTTCGTTAGTTTTGTTGCGTATAAGCTCCAAAAACTCGAAAACCTATTTGAAGATAAACCCTACTTAAGTGGCGCTACCACCACAGTTCCGACGACGGCTGCTTCCCAATTGACCGCCGACAATCCGGCAGGCAAGTTCAAATCTAGGAGGCTGTGGTTAGCTACAAGCTTTCATTCAAAGGTCCTAGCACGCGGCACGATTAGGTTTGCCATCACTGCAACTTTTCACCTCTGTCTATTTGTGCAAAAGAAACGGCCGCCGAAGCGACTGAGTGGTCGCTCGAGAAAGGTGTCGACTCAGACTGGACCAGCCTCCGACAAAGAAAAGTTGGCAGAGCTTCGACGCGAGCGCAATTAGCGTTTTACATACGCAACAGGCACGCCAAAACAGTTCTTACGCAACTTTGTACTCTCTGTTAGATCCATCACCACGAATGAAACAAACGCAACGAAACCACGCGCAAGTATGTCGTACCAGCTTCGCATTCCGAGGTAGGAATGCCACGCAACTTTTTTTTTTTTTCTTGTTCAACCGAATTCGCAGCGTTAAACAAACAAGTCGCGGCAAGCGCGCAGACACAGTGCGTCGTCGGCGCTACTACAGTGTCGGAAAGCAGTCGCTAGGAATCACCGGCAATCTACGGCATTCATTCACAAATGAAAAGCAGATTCAGCGTCGGGACAAGACGAGGTGAAGGACACGGCCCGTAAGAGACGCGCGACTTGGGACTCGCATCGCCCAACTTCCAACCAACTACCGACACTCGGGAAAATGTAATAGTACACCCTCATATGATGCTTAGATTAATAGCGCGTTATCACGACAAAATGCGCGATGGGACGAATGACAAGCGCTAACCAGGTAGTGATCGTGCGGTTCCAACTTAGGCAGAAACGCTATCCCTCCACTTCACTACGGGCAGAAACGGTGGCGAAATCGTAATAACCGTCGCGTTAAGTGCTACGACGCGGCTGCTTGAACAGAACCTTTCTAGAATGTGAGCGACCAACTCGGGAGAGTCGAATAGGAAAGAAGCCGTAGGTACTCGACGTGTACGCCGCCCCAAAACGCGTTCTCTTTTGTTTTTTTGGTTTTTTTCGGCGCTGGCGGCGGCATGGCCTAGAACAAGCCCGAGATGCCACCGACCGAGCGGGCGGCGAGCGCTGTTCACGGGGACTCCCCGAAGTCGTCGCTAGGCATAGCTCGACACCGGCGCTAGCAAAGCTCTTGCCTAGGTAGGCGGTGAACTACGGGTAGGCAACTTCTTGTGCCTAAGCGCCACCGGCCGCGCTACGCTAACTAGGAAAACACGAGAGAAATAAAAAAGAAATGAGCGTGAGCGCACTTACGAGGAGCCAGCAGCAGCGCAGGGGAAACAACACGCAGTGGAGGGGTACTTCTTCACCGCACAGGCGACGTTCGTAGCAGCGGTACTCACAGTGCAAGGCCGGCCAGCATCAATAGCTAGCGCTGGCCCCCGCGCCGTACTTATCCACTGAGCAGCACCACAACCACCACTAACACCAGCACCACCACCACTTGTGAACACAGTCTTGGGCGAAGAAAGAGGCGAGCATCCTTTCGGGTCGCAAAACGGCGACAAGCGCAAACCGCAGAAACTCTTGTTTGGAAGACGGCGCACTTGTCTCTGCTTTTTTGACTCGCTGCCAGACGTTTTCCGGAGGCTACTTGCGAGCCGATGCTCCTGCCGATGTCCGCAGCAGCAGCCACGGGAAAACGCCGCTAGAACGGGCGTAGCGCGGCGTACGAGCGAGGGAAGGCAAGCGAGGAGGAGTAAGCGTGGCGTTAGGCTTAGCAAGCCCCTCGCACTTTTGCCAGCAGCCAGCGACACGGCTTGCTTGACAGCTGCGTCGACAGATGGCGCTACCTGTATTCCTTTTTTTTTTCTTGCCTCGGTTACGATTGCATACAGTGCTGCCGCTGGCTGCGTCCGTTTTTTCCGCGCGCGCCCGAAGCAAGGCGAATTGACTACGAGCGCGCGCGTCTCGCGATAGCGGCAACGTAGTCCCGAAAGGAAGCAGAGAACTTACGTTGATGGCGACGTCGAGGGCACGGCGTAAATCCAGGGCCGAAGGCGTCAAGGACCCGACACGACACTGAAGTAACAACAAAAAAATAGAAACACTGACGCAGCGAGGAAACCCTTCGCAACCCCCCACCCCTGAGACTGCCGCCGAGGCGTCGCCGCGGTCGCCGGGACCATGACCTACTACACTCCTGACCTGCCCAGAGAGCACCTCTTCCAGCGCCCACGTTCTAGTTCATACCTTCTGCCGCTAGGGCCGTCACCTACGAGCGGCGTGGCGCTAGGCAGCACCTGTTCGCTGACGTCACCTTCACTCTTTGTAGTCAAATTTTAACCAACAAAGCACTCGTAGTGCGAATTTATGATCCACAATTTAGAAATATCCAGAAATAATAATACTAAAAGACATTCAGAATTTTTTTGCAATAAAATGCACGCGACAACGCATAGGCTGTCCAAAATCATGTAAATCCACGGGTTTCCACGTTTGTCAACCAGTGTGCTATAAATTCTTAAGCGCACTGAACAGCTTACTTGACCAGCAATGTATGGGAAGAAATAGTCACATATATGCCGACAGTTCACCACAGAAAGCAGGCATTCTTATACCAGCGCCTACAAAACAACCGTAAAGAAGCAGACGAACAGGTTATAGGTAGCGCCACCTACGGCGAGCGATTGAACGAGAGCGGGGACACGCGCTCCCATAGGAACCCCGCTATCTGAACAGGTCAGGAGTGTAGTAGGTCATGGCCGGGACGAGGAAAGCAGCGACGAGGATGGGCCAATCGCAGCGCGCGACACGGACGAGTCGCGGTGCCAACCAATGGGAGAGGGCGTAGCGGTTGTGGTGCACTACGCTTCGCTTCTCGCAGTTTCTCGCTCTTTCCCAGTCCACTCTCTCGCTGGGTCGCGGTAGCAGTAGAGAACGCGGAGCTACATCTCCAAGCGTGACGCCGCTAGCTCTCGGAGAAGATGATAACCCTGCGCTGGCTAGAATGTAGATGCGATGACGGGTGAGCGAGGATTCGCGAATGAGCCACGCTCGAGAGGTGCTGCCGAAAATCGCGCTGTCAAACGGCACTTGACGAGAGGCGCACGTGCGCGGATCCTTTTACTGTGTTTGTGCGTGCGTGTATCAAACTAAAAAACACAGCGGCGCAGTTTGTTATTGCGACGGCAGAGAGGGAGAATAGGAGTAGAGCGAAGGACGCGGGAGGGAAGAAGATCGGTGTTGAAGACGACACGGGCAGGCAGTCCCGTCGCCAGCTTTCATTTGACTAATTAAGCGTCAGGGGCGCGCGCGCGTTCAATTAGAGACCGCGTTAGCGAGAGATCTATGCCAGTGTAGAAAGCGATGAGAAGGCCGGTAGAAGAGAAAGAGAGAGGGTGGGGGAAGCGCGCAGGTCATGGCTTTTGTTCCGACTGACAGCTCTCGGCTGCCGCTTTTTTTTTTTTCGGTGTTTTGATTTGCGTGAGATGAGTTTGGTCGAACAGGCCCTCGTTGACAGCACACTTGTTGAGTCGCGCAGAGAGAGGATAATAAAGATAGAGTTGGCGCAAAAATAAGGGAAGGAGAGGTGGTACAACCGGACGTCACGCTATTGTTGGGTTATCGCGAATTATATCTCTGTAGGTGAACATTCCGCTGCGGTTCTTCGGTAGTTGTGGTGCTCGGATACTGAACCAAAGATAGCGGGTTCGATTCGGTGGTCGCATTTCGATGAAGGTAAATTGCTTAAGTTCCGTGTACTGTGCAAGTACAGTGCACTTTAAAGATTACCGCGTGACCCAAATTTTCGGGGCCCCGCACAGCGACGGGCCTCGTAATCGTATACGGTAGTAAAGTTTCGGCACGCAGAACTCGCATATGTACCGTTTGCCGTTATGTTCGGCCGCTTTCCCTGACAAGTATGCGGCAATGCCTTTTGGCTGGTCTCATGCATTACGAATGTACCCAACCTAAGAACTTTTACCATACGCTACGCCACCCTTCACAGGTGCAATGATGATATTCGCACGTCTACGAAGTCCGCGAAGCGTCTAACGAAATCCATTTCGAATAGACGCCCCGTTTGATGCAACGTTTATTAAAAGCAACCGACGCGTTTATCTCGCGCGCTATCTGAAAGTAGCGAATAAAAACCGGGATAATTCGGTACAACCTCTGCGCGCGTTTCCGCGTTCACGATCGTCCTATAGCGAACCGAGGGAGCGGTCACGTGGGCGCGGCCTGCGACGCGCACATGAAGGTTCCCTAAGCTAAGCAAGTCTATCGATGTCGTATGCCGTTTTCGGCGGACCGAGCGCTGTTCTTATGCAAACACTCGTGCGTTGGCGTAAGCAAACTACGAAATTATGCAATGAGGGACATATAAGTGTCGACTTATCGGTGATCCCAACCGTACAGAAAGAAAGCGGGACACGATTGTAGCAAAGCCAAAGAACAGTCGTCATATAAGCGCACTATCTGTGTATGCACTGGTGTCCTCCTATATGGCAGGGGTCTCAAACACGTGGTCTGATGCGAGGTAAAAATACCCTACACTGCTCTCCCTCTGGATCCTCCACTGGGAGAGTGTTACGAGCCGCGTCGGTGGCCGCAGCGGACCCAGTAGGTAGCGTGGAGCTGGGTGGTGGTCGTCATTCCGCAGGCCACGGGGACGTTCAGAACTCCCGAAATCTGAGGCAGAGGGACCGGCGTATAGGAAAACTTAACAAGACGTTTATTTGCAACATGTTGGACAGTAACACGTCTGAACGACGACTCTTCTCGTGACACTCCTCTGTTTTCTTCTCCGGGCTGCTCCCGCTGCCTCGCCGGGCAGTTCCGAAGATAGGGGTGGAAATCACACTTCGGGGAACCAACCACTCACAGAGAGCACAAAACAAGTATCCCTTCACACACGTGGCAGATGAAACGTGGCACACGCGCGGGGACCAGGAAGCGACCACGCAGGAGAAATTCAAGGCAGTCGCTCCTGTAGCACACAACCGGCCTTCCGCACATTCCAGAGGGGCCCGCCCGTAGCCACTGCCCCGCAGGCGAAGAAGCGCACAGCCGAGACAAATACAGCCGGTGCATGTGACAACCCGCACCCCACAAAAGAATGTCCGAGATGACGGGAAGGCACGCTTGGGGGCATCCGGCCCAAGGACTTCGTTACTGCTTTGTAACAGAGAGGCAATCTTTTAAATGCCACAGTTAGCTCAAGCTTCCTCCCTCCGGGATCCAACCTTTTGCACTGTCCCGGTGCTGCGAAATTATTATATACCAGGTTACGAACGCGAGCGCCCTTACATCGATCGATCGACGGAGGGATCGATGAATTAGGAATAAATCATAATAATATCTAGAGTTTAACGTCCCAAATCACGATATCATTATGAAAGACACCATAGTGGAGGACTCCGAAAAATTTCGACCACATGGGGTTCTTTGACAGGCACCTAAATCTAAGCAAACAACCCTCAACATTTTCGCCTCCATCGAAAATGCAGCCGAGATTTGATCCTGCGACAACCGGGTTAGAAGACGTTGATAAGTATTAAGATAAGACGCGAGAAAAGCAGTCTGACAACGAGATACATTGGTCAAAAAAAAAAAAAACTTGCAGGGAAGCCGTTTTGCAGATTATCAAGGCCAAAGTCTTATTAAACGCTTTGTCAAACGCAAAGGTTGACCGGCGTCCTGGGGGGTCATCGCCTACACGAGCGGTTTAGTGAAATTCGCTAAGACACGTTACCGGGCTAGTTGGTTTGGGTTCATCATTTGTAAGGGTATAGCGCACCACGAAAAGGACACAAAAAGAGAGGCGCACACAGTGTCCCTGTGTTTCAAAACACCCGTATTCTCTTTAGGGCCCGTGACAGAACTACACGTGAAATCATTGAAGCCTTTGAAATTGACAAAATGAAAGATAAATGTGTGAGTGTGGCTTCGATAGCTTCGTCAGCTAAAGAAAATAAGTATCTGGAATCTTCACTTTGAAGTTGGCGAGTTCGGATCGTCGCGATCGATTATGACGCGTGCATGAGGTGTGCTGTATCCTAACATGATATGTTCCAGGTTTTATCGGTCCACTGTTACTGTATAAATAGCATGTGTGATCGCAAATACAACAATAGTTGCAAGTTAGCGCTGTGTGTGTGTGCGTCTCTCTTTTTGTGTCCTTGTCGTGGTGCGCTATACCCTTATAAATGGTTCAGTGAAGTTACCATCACGCGATGAAGTCAGCACATGACGTCACAGCTTACCAACGCTTGTGACGCCATCGCTTGGTCGAAAATGAGCCGATCACGGAGGCCATGTAAAACTACGTTACACGCCGGAAAGCTTTCAGAGGGCAGAATCAACACATCGGTCGAGAAGGAAAAGAATACGGCTTGCGCCTTGTCGATGCCTGGTATATAAATTGCCATCATTAATTTATTAGAACAATTCCGCAACTAATCAGTCATACAATAAATACGTGATCACTTTTAATTAAAAACTATTCGTTTCTTGGCCAATCCCCCAGAGTGGGTGTCAGACATATAGTTTCACTGTAGAGGGGACCCTGGCGCTGCGATCGTCAGCAGGCATGGGAATGGTGGATAGTACATGGTTTTGCCTATAGTTTTCGTACTTGTGGGCTACAAACGCAGTTGTGGCTTCATTCATTGCAGCGTTTCAGTTTTTCTTCCAACATAAAAGAACCTATTCGAATAAAAAAACCTATAAAATAATTTATTGTATCGTTATACCATTGTATCATGATATCGCATTGAGTTCTTGTGTACATATCTGCCAACATTGTCATGTATATTAGAGCAAATGTCTTCACAGTAACGTAGTGATGTTAGTCGTGAAATATAGATGTGCCGAAGTGTATGTGCCCTGTTACTGGAATGGTATGAAGCCTTTGTGTTCTGTACATGCTGTGAATAATTTTTTTTTTCTAAACGATAAAAGAACAAACCGTTTTGAACTTAGTGACCCGATTCAAACTGGTGAGCTTAACAGGTAAAAATAGTGAAACGTAACTGATAAACATTTGCTGATTGTTGTTTCGTGAAAAAACAGCTTCAAGCCATGACAAACCAAACGGAACACAGAGCGCGAGAAATATAGGCAAATCCATCTGCTACCAATACATGCTCGCTGAAGCGCCGTTACCAGCTCTTTGACACACTAGCGTATAGTGTATTTATATGAAACTCGATGGTGTCAGCCATACATGTATGTTACCATCATGTCGCCTTAGGCGGGTGCATAAAATTCGCCTACTACTTGGCCAATCCTACGCATTGGGTATGAGCCACGAAAAGAGGAGGACGAGGAGAAGAAGTGAGCCTGTGACTTTCTGTAAACCATCCATCGGTACAGCATTGGACGCGTTATCCGAAAGTTGTGGCTTCAATACTTATATACCGACAGAAGTTGTTTTTTTTTCGTCCGCTCTAATTCCTGTTCATTCACGATACAATTACTGCACGCTACTTAAAAAAATAGAAGTTATACAGATAAATGCGCCCCATCGCACGAATGGCGTTGTTGTCTGCTGACTTCATTAAGCGCGTAGGGTAACAATACCGGAGAGAGCTTATCAGCCTAATCTTTGCGAGCGTCAAATCTTATCTGCGCCGCGGAGGAAACTGACGCCGCTTGTCAAACAGTTACTATCGAGCGTTCCGTATATACAATCTCTATAGGCGACAGGCTCGCGGAGATTGGAGAGCATACGCACACTGCCTCGCGTGTTAGCGCGCTATCTGATAAGCGCGTGCGACAAAGCGTTGAGCAAAAGCTCGTCAAGACCACGACAATCAAAATGAAAAAAAAAACAAAAAAGGGCGGCACAATATATGCGAGGACGATGAACCATAGAGCGACTAAAGTGGAGATATCCGGATTTTCGATTATGAGCTGATTGAAAGAATCGCAGCGGTGGAGACCCGGGGACAAACTTATCTCCCGCGGAAACTAATCTGTAGTGGTAAAAACGCAAAGGGCCTGATGTTGTTTAATTTAACAGCTTAAGGTCTGTTGGCGTGCAAAGAATATACACACGGCTTGCGGTAGCGCATGCCAGCCTATAGATACATGTACCAAGCAGCTCCAAGCATCTATATTGTAACCAGATTCAACCATCCATAAAAGTTTACGGAGCGGGGGCTACACTGCCCAAATGCGAATTTCAACGCTGTTAGCGCACGGCGCTTCTAACTTACACATGTAGCTGCGTAGGTCCCTACAAGCTGGAACACCTGTTTGGAGGCTGTGTTCTCCGACAAAGCGGGAATGTAGCTTTCTCGGAAATTTTGCGTTCCGTGTACTTTCAGGTGGTCACGGGGGGGGGTGGGGGGGGGTTATAGTGCAGAAAGAGAAGTGAGGGTGAGGAGGATTGATGGTAATAGATAATAAAAAAAAGATGCAGAAAAACAAACATCAAAGAGGGACTATGATGCATAGAGAAATCAGCTGGGTACACAAGATTTATTTACGAAACAATAGGATATGTGGTATTACGTCCCAAAACCACGTGATTTTCAGAGACGCCATAGTGGAGAGCTCCAGAAATTTGGACCATCTGGTGTTCTTCAGCGTGCACTGACATCACATGGTACACATAAGCCCCTACCATTTCACCTCCGTCGAAGTGCGACAGCCACACCCGGAACCAAACGCGCGCCCTTCGGGTCAGCAGCCGAACAACGTGGCCAGTGATCCACAGTGGAGGACATTTATTGACAGAAAGGCAGAGAGGTCGGTCGGAACGATAGTATGATCTAGCCCGCCAAAATTCAGAAGGCAAGCCTCACTGCCGTGCGCAGTACAGGTGCGAGAGAGAACGAAGACAATGGAGGGAGAGCGGTGGGGTAGAAGGTTGGAGCCTAGAGTGGTATAGAGAGTAAAAATAAAAATGGCCCCGTATCCGCATGTGACACCGCAGATGCCGTCGAAAGATGATACGGTCTTGCGTCTGCAGAGAGTGAACAAAACGTTTATTTGATGTTCTGCGCAAGAAAATTGGTGAATGGTATTCTGGAGGCGCTGCGTTAGAGTGCCTCGAGCGTGCAGCGGAGGCGAACGAGCGCATCAAGTCACGTCACACGTGAGACATCAGCGCTATCTGGCAGTTATGTTGAAAAACGAAGCCCCCGTCTCAGAGGCGATAAGGTGTGGAGACGAGGAGGTGCCGCCACCGCGTCGTCTTAGTAAAGCGTTGGAAACACTTGCCTTTTCGTGCAAGCTTTGCATTGTCAGCGCAGCGTGAAAAAAGCAACGATCCTCAGAATTACTACAGTGTCCAGAAATATACTGGCTAGTGTGCTGAGCACGGGCTAGGAGATGGCCCCGCAGCTGATGACTGCCGGCGGTGCCCGCATGGTGCGCTGCTGCGCGAGTGGGTGCATTTGCGTTCAATCCTTGCGCTCCGCAAGCGCTGCGAAGCCTGCAGGAGGCCGAGCCGCGCGAGGCCTACTTTTATTCTTTTGTATTTTCAGAGTGTTCTTAACAAAATGCTTTATCGTATAAGAACCCCTCGATTGCTTTCACAGTATTGGCGCTTTGCAATACCAAATGAAGATCATTTCGTGACATGTTATTCGCCATTCGCTGCCACTCGCAAAAAAACAACAAAGAATGGCAAATCCCACGTAGCTTGGGAATCAATGCTGTGCAAAGCATGCTGATGGAAGGTGACTCTGCTGTAATTTTTTATTAAGTGAAACATTGAGAAGTGGCGCTAAATGTATGCAAAAAGTTGAATAGCCAATACTGGAACCAGAATTGCCGTTTCACGAACATTAGTCCCTTCTTGCAAAGTATTTCGGAGACCTGGCCTGGCTCTGTAGTAGAATACTTGATTTCCACGCAGATTGCTTGGTTTCGATTCCTCTGCTGGGACACAAACGTTTATCATTTGCATTCGTAGGGTCCACGATGCCAACTCCAGCTTTTTCTAACGCTCACGCGTTAACAAAAAGTGTGGCGTGAAGGGTTTGATGGCGTACGTGACGGGATTGTGAAATTATTCGTCAAGACCAGCGAGTCATATTCATCAAACCATCTTACCCGTCCACACAAATTTTGGTTTAACCTAAGTTAAGGGGGTGATAGTGAAGACACCCAGACATAGGTCATTTGACAGACAGACGGACCGACGGACGGACGGGCGGACAGATGGACGGGCAGACAGACAGACGGACGAACCGAGGGACAGACAGATGCTCAAAGTTGTTGCAATACCCAAAGAAATTAATTTTAAAGACCATTGACAGTATAACCACCAGAGTGGGCATGGCAGCAGCGAGACCAGCACCATGCTCAGCAGCCCATTTTGCTTCGTGCTGCAGGTCCTTTTTACGGCGCGGCTGATGTTATCCGCTATCCATCCTGGGGTGGCATGTGCGAGCGGCATCGGCGTGTCTGACGGGACCTTGTCTGCTGATAGCGAGGGCTTTAAACGCTGCATCATCGCTGACTTATCGCTGCACTACACAGCTGCGCTTGCGCCGACATGGATGACCACGTCGGTGACATGCCATCACGTGACGGACCGAAGCACTATAAAGGACGGACGAACACCGGGCATCGCCAGTGGGCATGGCAGCAGCGAGACCGGCACCATGCTCAGCAACCCCCTTTGCTTCGTGCTGCAGGTTAGTTATTATCGGTATACGAAATGTTACCGGAGTGATGACCGCTTTTTTTTTTTATTCTGCTGCCATGCTTACTTTGTGTTAAGTGCATTTTTCGCTGCGTTCTTGGTCTCCGTGATGACTTATTGTCTTGCGGCAACATAGAGGCTAATCCAGGGCCTTCGAAAACAGATAGATATACTGTTAGAACTGGTAGAGGGACAGAGTAAAATGACTGCAACAATTGAAGCCATACTCACCGCGCAAAATAAAATCGAAGATAAGCTCTCAACCTTAACGGAACGTTTGGATAGATTTAAAAAACAGTTGACTGACCTAAATGCTGTTACTAATCAAGTGAAAGCTATGGAAACCTCAGTGTCTAAGTGTGATGAACATATTTCAAAGCTGATGCTTAAGGTTGATGATTTGAAAAATAGGGGACGTCGGAACAATCTCATCATTTATGGTTTAGAGGAGCCTAACAAAGAGACGTACGAGGAACTGGAGGCGACAGTCAAAATAACATTTTCCGTGAAATACTGGGTATAACCGTGAACGGTATTGAGAGGTGTCACAGGCTTGGACGAAAAACGTCTGAGAAACCTCGACCTGTTATCGTAAAGTTCGTCGACTACCGGAAAAAAATGGCGGTACTAAAAGCTTCTCCAACTAAAGGACACCAATTTTTCACTCTCTGATGACTTTTCGAAAAGAATTCGGGAAATCCGCAAGCAGTTATGGAGGAGCTGCATGCAGCTCAAGAAAAAGAACAAGGCGCTAAAGTCAAATTACTCTTCGACAAGTTAAGCGTAGGTGTGCTTTTTGGTTGAAACGAGGAAAAGGCGACACGGTTTAGGCTGAATAAGAAAACAGCATGACAACATAGCACTAAAGATCAGTCATTTAAAATATCAAACATCCACTGCAGAAGCGTAATCAATAAAGCAACCGAACACGAAAGTATATTACTAGTACACGATGCCGACATCGCAGTTCTCACTGAGACTTGGCTACATGAATCAATATACGACAGCGAATTTGTTCCTGCCGGATATACTATAATTCGAAAAGACCGAGGCAGCAAAGGAGGAGGTGTTTGCATTCTCTTTAAAAAACGCTTGCGTATAGTGAGAATGCCTGACTTGACTGACGTTGAGTGCATATTCTGCGAAGCGTCACGGTAATGTTAAATATGTAATAGCAGTCATGTATAGAACCCCTAACTCGTCTATTGACATGTTGGAATCGCTAAAGTAATATCTACATTCGAATATAAAACCTGGTGACAAAATTATTCTGGCTGGATATTTCAACTTGCCGAATATAGACTGGCCGAATTTCTCGCTCAATAATCCCAATGATCACTTGGGAGAAGCAATGCTAAACATTGCGTTTACTTTTGACCTATTTCAAATTGTAACACACTTCACTAGAATCCAAGAAAATTGCAAATCAGTACTAGATCTCTTTCTAGTAAGTGAATCCATTAGTGCCAAAACTTACTACGAAGTAGTTCCGGGTATTTCAGACCACAAGGCCGTGTTGCTTACCCTAGCCAATACTTATATAAATAATAATCGTACAATTTTGTCATTTCCGAATTTCTCTCTTGCTGGTGATGTGTCAATAATTGACCCACTTTCCTTTAATTTTGATGATTTCTGCAATAGCACTTGTTATGTACACCACATTTGGGACAGATTTAAACAGATTGTGAATGACTGTATCGATTGTTTTGTACCCAAGATTACAAAAAAATGTAAGGGTAAGAACCCATGGATTTCGAAGGAGACATTGCAATCTAAAGGGCGACTGAAGCGCTTAAAGAAAATGTTAACAAACAACAGAACATCATTTATAATGCATGAAATATCGAAACTTTCTTTACAAATTAAAGACCAAGTAGCTGCTGATAAAAAGCGCTATTACGGTGAATCATTACCAAGCTTTATAACCACGTCTCGCGAGAAATTTTGGCATTCGATTTCTCCACACTCCACTGAATGTGATACATTTGAAGTTGATGGCTGCCTCTCACGATAGTGCAAAAATTTCCCATGCCCTTAACAACCATTTTAAATCGGTGTTCACCCAAGATAATGGTATAACACCTGTGTATCATGCATCCCTACCACCGATGTCTGATGTCATTGTTTCTGAAAGTGGTATATTTAATCTTCTGCTAAGGCTTGATGCCAAAAAATCACCAGGGCCTGATGATATTCCTAATACCTTCTTGAAAAGGTACGCTGAGTGGGTGTCAAAATATCTTCATGTCATTTTTGCAAGTCTCTACAAAATGGAGAAATACAAGAGACTGGGGAACCACTAGAATTAAACCAGTTCACAAGACCGGAAATAAGAACTCCGTTAAAAACTATCGTCCAATTTCATTAACATGTACGGTATGCAAGATTCTGGAACATATCATTTACAATCACGTCTGCGAATTTCTAGACAACTATAACGTTCTTACCAAATTCCAGCATGGTTTTAGGAAAGGTTATTCGACAAACACTCATTCAGTTGAAACAATACATGACTTTGCCAAATCAATAAATAGTATAGAACACAGACTGACGTTACTTTTGTGGACTTTTCGAAAGTCTTTGATAAAGTGTCCCACACTAAACTGATATATAAGATAGGTAGAATAATCAATAATTCCCAAGTAGTTAACTGGATTTCTGCATACCTCACAAAACGCGAACAATTTGTTGTCTTTGCTGATTTCTGCTCACATAGACAGCTTGTTGACTCTGGCGCTCCGCAGGGCTCAGTGCTAGGACCACTTCTTTTTTTCCTGTTTATTAATGATATTGTTGATGGCATCCCTGTTAAAATCAAACTCTACGCTGATGACTGTGTACTTCATAACGAAATATGCTGTCCCGCAGACCAACACGTGTTAAGTGATGCTCTACAAAAAGTGTCCTCCTGGTGTGATGAATGGCAAAGGGCTATTAACTTCGAAAAAACAGTGTTTATGCAAATAACTAATAAAAGGAATCCTTTAGAATACGAGTACTCTACTACCCATACTAAACTTTCCCAAGTCCCACATTACAAGTATCTTAGCTTATGGATCACAGATGACCTGAATTGGACGAAACACATTAATACAGTAACTAACACTGCAATGCGTAAACTGTTCTTCCTCAGAAGAGCATTGAAACTGTCAACCCCCTCCATCCGCCTTCTGGCTTATAAAACAATAGTTATACCGACTATGGATTATGCTTCCATTATATAGGACCCTTTTACCAAAACTAATATCAACAAGCTAGAAAGAGTACAAAAAAAAAGGCCATTCATTTTATTTATAACAGCTTCGGGCGCACTTCAATAACGGAACTTTAAACTCGAGCTAATCTACCAACACTAACAGAAAGAAACCGCTTATCTAGACTAAACTTTCTATATCAACTAGAAAAGGGACATTACAAGACAGACATTTCTGAAGTTCTTTCATTTTCGTCCGGATATGCAACTCTACAAAGGCATGAGCGCACAATAACACCCTATGCAACCCGTAACAACTGCTTTAAATATGCATTCTGTTCACGAACTATAAACGACTGGAACAAACTAACCAACACCGAAGTTTTACAGCCATCCTTAACATTGTTTTCTTCTAGCCTCAATAACAGTGTTTAATATAGCATGCCAATTAAGCTCTGTCCCCATAAACGTTCGAATTTTTGCATATTTGGGTAGCTTTGTGCGTACTTTTGTTTCTGTGTGTTTTTATCTTCCTGTTTTGAAAATTTGTTCGTCTTCATATTGAGCATTCATGTAATTCATGTAACCCACTCTGCGAAAATCCCTAGTAGGGATTGCAGTATGCATAAATAAAATGTGCTTTGTTCTTGAGCGTAAGAATTATCACAGGAGACCCAAAAACCTTTACCTCATAGCCTGCATTCCACTAGGATTCGATTGAAAACAAAGAATGATAACATGCCAATGAACAGTCTGACACTCGCCACATATGATAATCAATACGTTGTTGCAAAGGGATTCCAACGTTGAAATGGGAAAAAAACTGTGTGTCTGAAATTTGAAATGGTATTTTCAATTTTTAGATAAATATTGATATTTGAAATTATGCCTAATAACGATTTCGTTCCCGACACTGTTTACTCGAATAAGAAAAGATAGTTCGACGGAGTCACTCTCAAAATGCTTTTCTCACACGACAGCCTTCGGATTCAGCCTTCAGTCTGCCTTTTTGATCCTACTTTTTCATTCAGGGAACCATGCTGGATCCGTTAGAGCGGGGAACAAGACACATTTTCCTTGCTCGACCGATAACTTCTTTGACCCTGCGGCACAATACACGACCTCTCTTTGCATCGCCGCTTAGCTTCTATCATCTGAGAGTGTTGCAGTGTACATATGGCACCGTCCAACTTCACAGTAAATCAGATGGCAGCTGTCACACACTGATTTTAAACGTTGGCGAGGCTCCGGCAGCAACAGGACGAGATGACTTTCGCGCGTTGGTGCACCCTGTCGACACGCAGCGCCGCTTGTGGCATCTGAGTGCAGTCATCACATGCGGGGCCACCCTCTCTCGTACGATATATGCGCGCGCTCGGCATACTAGCCAGTATATTTCTAGACACTGTAGAATTACTTACGTATGCTTCCTCTCGTATAAAGCCAAACACACAGAATATTGACGTGCTGTTGTGGTGCCTCAGATACGCGCAATAACTGCTTTTGAATTGACAATCCCACAAGTATGAACGCTGACGCTTGAGAAATATTGCTGGGCGCTGCGAATGTGGTCGCCCGTTTGGGGTAACGTACAGACAAATGTACAGACAGACACAGGCAGATCAAAATTTTTGCGCCGAACGGTCCCCAAGAAAGACTATCGTCTTTAAATATTGTGAAACGAAGTGTTCTGGGGCAAGGAGCCGGCCGCCGGAAAGCTTTTTGCCTGATCGGCGAAGTGGAGAGGGGGGAGGAAAGAAGCTGTGGAAATGAGAAAGCGAGAGGAGAAGGAGGCG